TAAATTAAATTAAAGTTAATAGCCTTGAAAATTTAACTTAAAATACAAATTAATCCATAATAAAATTAATTGAACTTAAATTAGTGTTAATAAAAAAAGTAATTAAAAAGTTAAAAGTTAAATTTGATTTGAACAAACAAAAAAAAAGAAAAAGTTTAACTATTTTATATAACTATTTTATATAATTTTTCGTATTTTTACTTTCTTACAGCTTATTTATTTAATCTGGTTATTTTTGTTCACAAGTAACGATTATACAATATATTGGGTCATCTAAAAAGTATCCGCGGTTTTTTGTCACTGGATGTGTGTTGATGGTCATATATCTAGTGACAAAGGACCGCGGATACTTTTTAGATGACCCAATAAAATTACTAAATCATATACTTATTAGCCTCTCGCATTGTATCTAAAGATTGACTTCAAAAAAATCAAATTAAAAGTTAATAATTACCAATAAAATGTAACTAAATTAAGTTAAAAAGTAATTAAGTTAAGTTAAGAGTCTAAAATATAACTAATTTAAGTTAAAATTAATTAACTTTTTAATTTAACTTTTATCTTTTTAACTTAGTATTACCCAACCTTGATTTTATACTGATAATAATAAAGTAATCTGTAGGATTATGTTCGGAGAAAGATCATTAAAGCTTGCATTATATAACATGGTTCAATAATACAAATTAAAAATAAAAGTTTAGAAAGGCTATGAACCAAATAACAACAACGTAAACGTATACATACAAGTAACAAATATAATTATCATAATCTAACACAAATAACAAATAACAAACGTCATTTCGATCGGGTCATCTTCAATGTTAAAAATAAACATAATTAAAAAGAACTAAATTAATATACTTAAATTAAACGGATAAACTGTAAAAATAAAACAATATAATGGCCAGCAGTAGAATCGCATCCTGTCATCGTGAATGTGATATTACGTCCGCAACGATATAGTGTAAAAGTTAGATGTCGAAATAATAAAAATCCATATTGGTCAAAATGCGCAAAGAATTCACAAGCATCGTAAAGTCAAAAATTTACATTAAAATCTATAAAAATAGTGAAAATAAAAATTACACCAATACAATATTTAAAGCAAAGAAAATCCAAAGCATTAAGTACAAAGATACTGAATATAGAGCGATGAAAGTTCGTCTGTAGATTACTATACATATATAAATCAAAACTTCTAGTCAAAATTAGATTTACAATGTTGCGGTATCTAATGATAAAAAGACCTATGTATTAATACAAAATTTCTTCAGCCAAGGATAATTCCACGTTGGCAAAAGACTAGATGACCCGTTTAATTTAAATATATTAATTTAGTTCTTTTTAATTATGTTTATTTTTAACATTGAAGATGACTCAATGACATTTGTTATTTGTTATTTGTGTTAGATAATGATAATTATATTTGTTTCTTATATGTACACATTTATTTTGTTGTTATTTGGTTCATAGCCTTTCTAAACTTTTATTTTTAATTATTAAAGCTATTTATGTCATTCCATCTATATTGTTTATTAGATAAAACAAAGGATGACACAAAAAAACGCATCTCCTCAAATGCACCCTTGAAATGACTGAAAGTTGGATGAATTCAACGTATCTGTAGTACGTATTTTATATGTATCAGTCATATAACATTCGTTAAATTGCTGAAAGATCACAGTTGTGATCCTTTATATTATGCATATCAGTTGTGATGATTCATATTATGTATTTTGAGATATGTGTTAGACTGCATTTTTAAATAATTGTTATAATTATATAACGATGAAGAAATATATCTTTGTTCTTCTAAAGTATAATATCCTCAAAATTATATGATATACATATTGTATCCATAATCATGAAATATATCATTGTTTTTCTATGTGTTCCCTAAGTTATGTTACAGTTACAATTGGTTTGCTAGGGAATTCTATTTAATCTGTAGTGCGACCGAAGCTTGTTTCATACGTACAAGGTATAAAGCTTTTATATAAAGCAAATGTTGTTATGAGTTGCCAGAGAAGCCTATAACAAAATTTTCTAATTTTTTTCTCTCTCTTTTTGATAATATGAAAAGATATATTTTAATCGACTTTTCGCTTTGAAAGACAATTGTAGAAAGATAATGAAAAGATCTTTTTTAAATTGTCTTTTCAACAAAAGTGAAATACGATAAAACTTCCATTAGAAACATACATTCTTTTTATGTATTTTATTCTTTTCGTTCTTAATTCGTGATAAATTTTTCAAAATTTTTTAAGATTTTTTTTTAAACTTAACCTTGCATGAGATGCAAAAAATCACGAGTATTCTTGAACTTACAAATAGTAGTGTATTGCAAAATCCTTTTTTTTGTGTAATTATATAATATTTAAAATAATTTGTAAATTCTTAGAATAAATAAATTTTGTCTGGTTGTCGAATTAACTAATTAATTTGTTGAATGTTTTCGATTCAATGTCTTCTTCTCGTTGTGTTTTTTTTTTTAGAATTTGAAAAATGTTATTGTAATTTCAGATAGTACTTTGTTATGGAAAGCTACAAAAGCGGATGGGATACAATAAAAAATGAGAATAAATTGCATCAATAATTGATTAATTCTTTTTATTGCATTCATAATCGCGTATACATGTTTGTTCAAAGTAATCCGACGATGTTATTAGTATAAAAGAAACATAAATGTCTCGGTACAGTGAAAATCTTTTCACAGTAATCGATTTACAAAATTTACATTCTAAAAAATTCATGCATAATCGTTCCCACATCTAATAAATAAATAAATAAATAAATAAATAGGTAAATAAATAAATAAATAAATATATAATAAAAATAAGTATACAAGTAAAATAGTAAACATTATAAATGACGATAAATAGTAAATAGTAAGGAACGTACACTCGCGAAGCACAGATGAGTCTCTCTCTCTCCCTCTCTCTCTCTCTCTCTCTCTCTCTCTCTCTCTCTCTCTCTCTCTCTCTCTCTCTCAATTCATATTAATAATACCTAAAATAATCTCCAAAAAACAAACTTACAAAATAAATAAAATTCGTCTAGAGCTCGGATTAACAATATACTAAGATAATGTCGCATTAAATTTTATTCTCTTTCGATACGCCATTGCGATTAATTAATTCCCATAAATTAATACGCTTCTTTAATCTAATGTACATTATAATCATCAACATTGTACAAAGAGAAAAAAATTAAACAAGAATCATAAACGTATCATGGCCGAGCCCGGAATGCAATACGTGCCGCTCGTATTACGACGTAAAAAAAATAACTTTAAGATCTGCGATTAAACGTTAACCTTGGTCCTTCGTATGCAGAAGAAGACGCAGAGCAGACATTAATTTCGATGAATTGTCCGCAAAAATAATCGCCTTAATTCAAAGGAAACTCGCTAAAGTAAATTCGCAAGATTCTTTAGATGTTTCTCGTCACTCATGATAGTTTCATCATAAACGCGCTCACAATTATAAGTTAATTTGTAAGTTAACTAGCACAATTATCTTCAATTTATTCTTTGAACAAAAATCTATTCAAAATACATCTCGATCGGTCATTACATTGCAAAAATTCCACGTTGGATTTAGTCGATTACAGTAGCGAAGAAAAATTATATGAAACAACTTCTCTGTTAAAAATTTATCTTAGAATTTTTCATAAAATTTATATATCAGCGTTTTTTTACAATTCCTATATAATTTTATAAGTCTTTAGAACATTTTTTAGATTTTTTATACATTAAAACTTTTCAGAAGTACAGGAAATGTCTGCATCTTTTCTAATATTCTTATATAAATTCTGAAATATTCTAAGTTTAAGATTTCTCATTTCTATAATTTCTGAAGAAAACTTAATAAACTTGAAAAAGTTTAAGGCATTTTTCTCAGAAATTTTCATAAATTTAAAATATAATAAATTTTTTAAAATATTATAAGATATTCTGAGAATTTATTAAAGTTGAGATTTATGATAAGACTAACTTAACTTTTTCATATATATAAAAGTGAACCTGTAAGACGTTCTTCCTTGTCTCTCTCAATTTCTGTTTCGTGCGTTAATGTGATTGCGCAATTTCACGCGGAGGAAATCGACGCGATAAAAAAAAATTGGTTAGAATAATTTTGTACTTTCTTACGAAATTATCATTTAAATATTACACATAACTTACAGCAGCCGACTAAATCCGATGTAGTTGAGAAAAGCCACACTCAGAAAAAAACATATAATGATGATGCCTATAAAGATGCAGATAACTATAAGTTTTAGTATAAAATTAATTATATATATTGTGTTAATTCTTTATACATACATAAAACTTGTATAATTGTCATCTTATACGTATAATTGTATCCTTTTTTTCTGAGTGCGGTAGGAATAATTATTTGTTTTTTTATGAGAAGATTTAAATGTTTCAATGAAAGTGATAGCCAATTAAATGCGAACGAAAAGGTAAATATGATCTTGAATTCGCTGGCAAAAAACATCCAAGTGTGTATCGAATGAATCTTGCGAATTACACATTATACGCGAATACTACAACGGCGTTCACATGTAAAATACTGTTTTCTCGTTAAGCCTCGAATACTTAAATAAAGAACGCAGTCTGGATACGATCATGCCGTTTTTCCCCCAAGGACACCGGCACTTTGCACAGTAATTTGCTGTACACTTTCGTTATCTCCCGCTGTTGCCATTTAAATCTTAAGCACGTTACGCATGTAACGTACATTTCCTATGCTTGTCAATAGATTACTTATTTCTTAAGTAAGGCGTAAATTAATAAGAAAATTGGAAGCTCTCGGACGGAGGCTGTCCGTAATAGTGCGCTGTCGACGGATCACGGCTGAGAGATCAAATTAAATGTACGTGTATGCATGTATGCGTGTGTATGTGTGTGTGTGTGTGTGTGTGTGTGTGTGTGTGTGTGTGTGTGCGCGCGCGCGCGCGTGCGTGCGTGTATGTGTATGTATCTTTTTAATTATACTCTATTTCCTCCTTCTCTCTTATTTCACTATCTCTTTCTCTTTTGTCTCTAGCACGCTCTTTCTTCCTCAGTTGTCTGTCCTCCGCTTCTCTTTCCTGACTTTCGCCTCATTCTCGAGCTACACCAAGTCTATGAATTAAATCAACTGGTAGTCCCTTTGCTCCTCCCGCGAATCCTCCTTCTGCAATTAGAATAGAGGAAATAGAATTAGTTCCGCTATTGAGACGACAGATTTGTAATTACGAACTAAGCGACACCAGCGATTCTCGCAAATATATTACCGCGATAACGTCATCGAGTCCCTCTACTTGTAGATTTATATACATTGCTAGTCAAATATTTGAGGGCATATGTAAAATGTAAGCGTATATTGCAATAAAAACACTACTTAAATAAAAAACAATTTTTTTTCTTGATTTGAAGTCAATAGATGTCATATTTAACAGTTGTAAACATAATATATATTTTTAAGAAAATGGATTACAACCATAAAGCTTTTTTTTTTTTTTGAAACTATGAGCTGTTTTAGAAGAGTCCTTCATCAGAGAAAATAAATAATTTTTAAATCCTGGGTTATCTAGATTAGTAAAAAAAAGTAAGGTAGATAGTTTGACAAAAAAAGTATCTAATATTTATGTTTTTCTTTCTAAAAATTTATAAAAAGAATTTTCTGTAAAAAATTCAAAACATTTTATATTATTTTTTATTTCATTATAAAACTGTTAGTAAATATAATAAAAAAAAATTAATATGATACAATAAAGATAAAAAATATTAAATTAGAATAGATAAGTTTTTGATTTTATTTAACACAATAGATGTTTTCAATTAACGGGTCTCAAACTTTTGGCCACTCAAGTCATATATATTATAAACATATATATATATATATATATACATATATATAAGAGATTAGTACGTGGTATGAGGTGAGCGCACTTCTTGTAAGAAGAAAACACCCAAAAGTCTTATAATAAGATATGCGAATTAAGTTGGCGAGTCTCTTGAAAACTTCTATACATTTTCGAGTGCGCTTTTTAAATATCTAAATATTTGATTAATGTGTGTATTTTAGAATGTGATACTAATAATATTTTAATAAGTAATAAAACTAGATTAATCATTATTTTCACTTTTTACAGTACATATAATTATATATGTTTGTGACAATTGAATGATCAGCGTGCGCACTAATAGTTACATTTTATATTTTATACGCTTACTTATTATCTACATAAATAAAAGAGAAAAATAGATAACCTGATGGAAAGAATAGGAACGAAGAGCATCCCACGTTATGTTCTCGGAAACTTCCAGAAGATTACTAATTACGTTCAGCAATTTATTAGATTTTTTTACCACTACTGATTTGATCGATCTTTATCGTAAAATATTCACTCAAGCAGACATGATAAACGATCACGAAGGAAACCGTCACATGTATTCGAAAGTGTTACGGATTATTACGACATTTTGCGTGAAACGCGTCCCCGAAAATGAAATGTATAGGTAAAGTGTTTGATAACGTCTACATGCTTACTATCACGTAAAAATGTCGTAGCTACGACATTGTGCGAAACAAGGGTGATAAACAGATTGCACATACAGTGAGAGCAAAAAGTATTCGTACAAGGAAATTTTTTATAAAAAAAAAATCTTATTTGTAAAATATAAACATTAATTAGCAATTTTATACAATGAATTCTGTTCTAACATATGAGCGCTTCGCATGTATTTCTGATATTATAAACTAAATTTTTCGAATACTTTTTGAACATCCAAACAATGGAACTTTTAATTTTCGCTTATTTTTCAGATGATATATTTTCTATAATTACACATCTTTTTGATATATATAATTTTATATATATAATTTAAGAAACATACAGTCTATTTTAGACTGTAGGAGTAAATTGTTAATTATTTAGCAAAAAATGATCATCAATTAAAATCAATGTCGAATTGAATTAAAATCAATGTTGAAATCATCGTATCGATATCGATTCGACATCAATTCGATGACTCATTTCTCGCTGGATAATATTTAATTTTAAAAAATAAAGTTTTTTTAAAAAATATTTTCTCTATACGAATACTTTTGTACTCACTGTACATATATTTATACGCATCAATTTCAACGATATTATCTTGCACTTACCCACGTTAAGGGACGATTCTGATCAGATTGGTCCACGGTTGATTCCGAGCCTTGAGTAATGAGTAGTAGGAAATGTTGCAATTTTCGAAGATTATCCTCCGAGATGGATCTCCGTTTACGGCCTCTATAATAGTAAAACAATAGTCAAATAATCGATCCATCGAACACGGAATGTTAATCAAGTATCATCTTATTATTATAAGTAATTTTATACACAAGAAAAAATATATGAACCAGCATCACTACACACATAGTTAATAGCAATGTAATTTAAAATAATTCAATAATAGTAATAATAAAACGAATACATTAATACGTATTGATAAAATATATCAACAAATACTTTTATTTTAATAAAATGCTGTTTGTTTCATTATTAAATTAACAAAACCATTTTCAATTAAAGTAATGCTATTATAACATTATTTTTCCGTGTATTAATTATATCAATTTATCACTATTACTTATATTATTATTTTTACATATATATATATATATATATTTGTAATCGATATTTTATGTTATCTACACACACGCGCGCGCACACACGCACACATACACAATATAACATAATATATAAATCGCTGAAGGATATTTTGATTATACAATATCAGCTAAAAAAAAATATCAGTTAAAATAAATTAAACAGTCAAAATAAGTTAATATCAGCCAACGTCATGAAAAAAATTTTAATATTAGTCCGTGAATATGTTCTAAAACCGATTGATGAAACGAAACGATAAATAATTTGGCTTATAATGGTTTTATACATCAAAATGACCATATTTTTTCTCTGAAATTGTAGGTCAATAACTTTTAAACGCGTAAGTATATCCAAATAAATTTTTGCACATTTTAAATATTTATTATTGTTTGATCAGTATATGTTTAAAGTTTGATTTAATTTTTAATGTTACTTCCTCATCAAATTTACAAATAAGTTACATGTAAAACACAATTTTAAATATAAAAATTAACAAAAAAATTAAATAACTTTTAAACCAATAAGAGAATTGTGCTTAAAAAAATTTTACAGATATTAGATATAATAAGACAATCTATGAAATTTTTATATTGATATTTTTAATAATATTAAGTTCTGAGATGTAACACATATATCCTTAAATTTTTGTTATTGAATTTTATTTTCAAGATAAATTCGCACGATCCAGGTAAATTCGCATTCAGGCTAAACGTTTGAACTAAATAATTTCGCACAATCATGCTGAATGTTTGCGTCTAAAGGGGAAGAGAGATAACGTCATCCAGCGCAATAGTGCAATACTCATGCAATACTCATGCAATACTCATGCAATACTCATGCAATCGCTAAGAATCCACCAAGTAATAATAGCTAATGAGTTTTATCGTTAGCGAATGGTTGTTATACAAGCATAATTTACAATGCTCCCTACCAAGTACGACAATATTTATCATCTCACAATTTGTTTATTGAAGTTCAATTAATTGCTTTCTCGATAACGTCGTCGCCGAGATACGCCAAAAAGAAGTCTCATATAATAATAAATGACGAGAAAAAGATTATGAGAAGAAGAATCACGCTCGTAGCTCGGGGTATTTTTAAATTTCGTATCAATTTCTTGCATATATCATATTCACTGTCTGTCGTGCAGATCGTCCAGCAGTATAAATCGCGGTTGCTTCACATTCTTGAGATTTTTTTTTATATTTGCGCATAAAAGTTTGAGATTCTCGATGGAGATGCAAAATTCACGTTTTTTTCCACAGACACTGAATTTAACTGTCATATAATGTTTTATATATATATGGCTATCGCGGGCCCACGCGATTCGTAGGATGTCGCGCGAGTTGATTATCGGCCAATCAGATGTGAGTTGATTATCGGCCAATCAGGGACAGCCCCGATCCTGAAGAACTTCGCGTTTGAAGAACTGCCGAGAAATCACTTTCGTTGTGGTAGGAGAGGATCTCGATAAGAGAGGACGCAGAATCCTGTACATTATCGAGAGAACAACGGAAGGAGAAGAAGCTGTACCGATGAAATAAGCGTTGAAATATTGTAAGGCCGTCGCGATCCCATTGCGAGATTGAGCGAATTGCACGTGTTGAATTTGAAGCTACCGCGAGTAGCGACTAATTTGGATGCCTCGTGTCGTTCGTTTAGGGTCCTTTACGTTCCACTTAACATCCGCAACGCTCGCAGTGCCTGCAAACCCGTTCCACATAACGATGGCGATCGTTGTGATCGCGATCAAAACGTTATAAATAACCGTCATTAATCACGATCGCCTCGAGCTCATGGTTCGTACGTGGGTCGGCGTGGTCGTTTCGTCGTTTGTAGAGTGGATATAAAGAGAGTGACGCCAATTAGCCGGAAGTCGCCATTTTGTGTTCTATATCTATCATTTTCCTCGTCTTAATCTCTTCTTTCTTTAATGTTGCCTTCTTTCTAAGGACACTTAAGTCCAATCAGCATTAGGCACATGCATTGGCGCCAATCTCTTTATACCAACTCTAGTCATCAACTGCTATCCTTTTGCATAGACATTTTGTTTTATTCTCGGTGTTGCAAAATTTTTAACATGAAAAAAGTATTTATTATTCGTATGATCCGGAAAGAGATAAACACTACTTCACCATCAGGACTCGATGAGTCTTCAGATTTTCTACAGCGTAGTACAATCATCTTAATGACATCCATGTTACAGAGACTGTTCACACACAAAATTCGTTCCACTTAAGATTTCATCCGCAGAGCCCGCAAGCTAGTGAAACGGATATAATATACAAATATTATGATCGTGATCGTTGCGGATTTTTAAGATCATCACAAGTGTAGGGTATTCTCGCGTTATGTTTGTCGTCCTCTCGCCATAGCCAAATCATCATGTGTCGTTTTTTTACGTGTAACTGTTTGTTCAGTCATCATCTGGCTTAAGATGCACTTCAAGCTGTAATTTTCATGGATTTTGCGTTATCGGAACAATTAGTTGCCGCCGAATAATTCCGCGTTAGAATCTGAATATCATCTGTACGCGATTTTGCCGGTGCGATATTCCGGCGAGCTTCAGTGTTAAATTCGATCGGTGAATTGAAATCTATTTTAACGATAATTGTACCTCTACGTCGAAAGATCAAATTATTCCATCCTTGCGGACTCATATTACACCGAAATCCGAACGTTCATTTTGTTAATGCGTGTACAGTATTCGACAGGGTTGACAAAAATCCAAATTTTTCATATTAAACCCAATTTATTGGTTATATAACGGGTTTTATCCAGTTTTTCTCTGGTTAAAACCATAATAATTTTCCAGAAGGCTCCCTTTACCTTCAATTTTGATGAAATAATGCTCATTCGACGCGTTTTTGCACGAAATCAAAAAATTTGGCAGAAAAAAATATTTAAATATGGCTCTGTAGTTTATCCAGCGAAACGGGTGAATATTTTAAATAAATGCAATAAAATAAATAATGATAATGGAAATAAAACAAGTAACACAAATAAAACAAGTAACAACTCTCGAGAATGTCAAATGTAAAAAGAAGGACTAATGAAAGTTTATCGCGGTACTTCATGAGAGAATAAAAATTTATTTTATTACCAATTCGAATGAATATAATGGACTTGCCAACCTTGTGTCAATAGAATAAGTACAGTCGTCACTCTTCCGTCTCACCATGAAGGAGATAGAGAATTGCAATAAATGTTTAGACATACTGATAATGGTTTGAAGCCGAAATGTCTCTGCGTAATTAATTCATTCGAATTGGTAATAAACGATTTTTATTCTCGCACGAAGTACCACGAATCAACTTTCATTAGCAATTTCTTTGTTTCTACATTTAATGATAATGGCCCTAAAAAAAGTTGACATTTTTATGACAAATCTCTTTAGCTCTACGTCAGCAAGTAGAGAGAATTTTCTCTATATTTAGTATACATATTTGCAGTAAGTTAAGAAATTCATTGGCTCCAGAAAAAGTTGGTAAGCTCGTTAAGATTTATAGACACGTAAATAAATAAGCATTCTTAAATTTTAATACAAATATTTTTCAAAATATTTTTATTTCATATATTTTATATATTCTCTAATATTATTATTTTATATACAATATTATATAATATATGAGACATAAAAAAATGCCGTTCTTATACAGAAAAGTATTAAACATAAATAATATAAACAAATAATACTTCCGTTTTTTATAATTTACAATCATATTACTTTTAGTTCAACATCTTAACATTTAGACCGCGCTTCGTATTTAAAGTAACATATTTATTTAATACACTTTTATTTAAATTTTTTTTTAAGCTTTAATAATGGTGAATAGTAAACTAAAAATAGTAAAACTCGTTTATGGATTTCAATATGGATTTTTCACTTTGATTAAAATTTAAAACCGATTTTATTTTAACTGATATTATAACTAGTTTTATTATAACTTAGACAAAATTTTGTCAGTCCCTTTGTATGTCCACAGCTGATCTGCATTCCTTAAAGTACTGCAAAAGTGGCAAGTATACGTTGTTTTTCTTTATTATTAATTCGTGTGTGAGTCTTGTATTTTTTTTCGCTCGCCCTCCGACTTATTTTTGCTTCGAGGGAACCACCCCCTTTACCAATTCTGTGACTAAGCAGTCGGATTTCGTGGATCCCAATAAAGAATGGTCGAGAATTGTTTGAGTTAAAGTATTGAAGAATGGGTCACATTCTCTCGTGCCTGGCGCCTAACTAGAGTTCAGAGGAATGTTACGATAATCTGGGATAAATGTTAACCTATTGAGAATCGAGGTAAGATTGTGGGGGGTTGCCAAGTGGAAATCATATGAAAATGATGCGACGAAGTTATACGGTTATAGTTCGTACATTATTTGATACGCTCCAATATTTCAGCTGTACGATCACACAATACTCGAAGGCATGAGATCGAAAAGTCAAGTTTCGAGTACCGGCTTGTCAATCAACGAGCAGTGTACACGATGTAATGCGATCGCTCGACAATATTCATGTTCCTTGTTAATTACATATGCGACGTCGAATATCATTGACATCGTAAATATCATCAATTAATTCACGCGCAATTACAACGCAGAGAGAACAGTGCGATATATCGCAGTCCCACAAGGTCCCTTTTCACTGAAACGACGCGAGTGGGAACAGCATCCGGATAGGAATTTATTCACGAAGCATTGAAAGAGAAGTAACCTAGTTAGAGATTCCATTTACCACCGTTGCGTTCTTCTCATCTTCATTCGTCATGATCACATCTTCTCCTTATTCTTTTTCTCTTTTCTCTTTTACCTGTCGTCTCTCGATGCAATTATGTTATTCAGCAGACGTCGTTGCATTACAATTTGTAAGCGTATTTGTCAAAGTGCTTCGTTGTCTCTTTTTTCAATTTTTCCTGTCGATAGCACGCGTATCAATGTCGCGAGATATGAATGGGACTATTACTAATTTAACTATCAATCAAAAACTTTATTGTCGTACTGTTGTATACATTATTTTCTACAGAGCTTAAAATATTTCTCTAAGAATACTGAAGAATACTGAAGATTACTTTTCTAATCTATATAACACAGACCTTTAAGAAACATCTTAAAGATATTCAAAGTATCCTTTGAACGTCTTAAGAAGCTCCCAGGCTCTCATATGCCGGGAAAATGAAAATATTGAACATTCAAAGCGTTATTTGTTTTACATTAATTTTTTGATATGAGAGTTAGGAGTGCCTTTTCTCCTATCATTTGCTTTTTTACTTCTTGTTTTATTTTTATATTTTATGTAGTTCTTTAGCTGCTATACCGTATACAAGTTACTTAAAGATTTGAAGAATTTAAGAAGCAACAAGTGCAACTGCGGTAGATGAAATCTTTAATGGCACATTAAGTAAAACGTTATTACATTTCTTGATCCGGCTATGTCCTATACATTGCATGAGTGTAGGTTATGTACATTCACATCACTTTTCAATTCATTTCTTTTATAAATTTAAAAAATCATAATTTGAAGGTCTCATTATATTCTTATACATTATTCAAATGTGGGAAAGTATATATACCTTTGTTTGTATATATATATACATATAACTTGAATTCATTTATATGTATGTAAGGAATAAGTGACCTACGTGATAACAGAAAACTAATAATTTACAATTTTTTTTGATTTTTCAATTTGTAGTTTCTCCACAGCTATTTGTGTTTTTTTCTTTTTTTATTCTAGAGAAGGATTTTTTTATTCTGTAGAAGAAAAACGAAATGAACGGAAACATACAAAATGCGCGTTTTGTCGCATTTCGTATATTTTTTTTAATTCCAGCATCCCTTTAAGGAAAGTTTCACGTGTAAACATTTGCTTATGTTAAAAATATATGTGAAAAATTAATAAAATTAATAGAACTTTTGTCGTAACATAACTATTTTCCTACCATACAATTATCAACTATAATTAATTTATGGTGTATGAGGGAAGTGTCAAAGATTTGAAGAATTGTGTATCGCTGATAACTCAAAAAGAGTCGAAACATTCGTATTGAAATATATATTCAAGTAAATACTGCACGAAACAACAGTATTATTTAATCACGCCCCAATAACGCGTTACACTTTTATTTGCCTTAATTTCATTACTTTATTTCGAGAGGCACAAGAAAATTATAATTTTTCCGTTACTAATAATTAATTTCGTTTGTGTTATGATAACGCATAAAAATAGAAGTTGGTGAATTTCAATAAACAGACAATTTTGTACAATGACAAAATTTGTGAATAATTCAATATTACTAAGAAAGGACAATGTCCTTTGCAAAAACAATTTTTTATAAATTCGTTTCGTATGAATAATAACATAAGAATATATAAACATTTTAACTTTTCTATTAGTTCATCTTCGATATTGTTTACAACATGACATTGAAATTTTAAATGAAATTAAATTTATTTCTATTAAAAGATGTCAACTAATAAAAATATATAGTTATAAATAAGTCGCTTATAATTTGTTATAACATGTCAATTAGGTTTTTTAGACATTGATAAACAATTTTAATTTTATTATTAACAGTGTTTTTGCCTTCGTAAAATAAGTGTAAATAAATGTTCTGCATATAAGTGATTTAAGAACGTATCTAAAAAATTATGACATAATTCTTATCGCAATGTGATTAACTTTCTAGCAATTATCATTTAATCTCGTCTGCGTTATGCAGACGAGGTTAAATGATAGTCACAATCATTAATCATTTGGTGAATTTCAAATGGACGATTTTGTTAGAATGTTATAGGTAGCACTTTTTTACCGCGTTAAATGTGTTTAAGAAAGTTCTGCATGTAAGCGAATGCACTTAGGAATATACTATTGTAAAAAAATTAATAAAACAAACGATATATAAATAGAAAATTGATTAATTGGATTATTGCAGTTCGAAACAAATTAGAAAATAAACTTACAAGATAGCTGGGTTCACTTTTCCGAATCCTACGGGAACCACGACGCCCTTCACATTTTGCAGCGCTATAAGTGTCTCGAGTTCGGCGAGTCTTTGATCAGAAAGGCGTTTCTGCCGACTGCAATAAATCGAAAATTTTATAAAATATTCTAATAAGAATCATTTGAAAAATATCAATACAGATGAAGTCACTACTTTCTTTGGAAATTATTTTTCACGAAAATCCCAATTCGCGTGTGATCGTCAACAATCGATTATACCCAACACAATTTTAATTTTAACACATTAAAGACAAAAAGAATGTACCCGTTAATATCCGCGCTAATCTTTTAAGTGTATGCGATGCACAATGGATCAGAATCGATTCTAGCCGGCCAAAAGTAAAAAAACAAATTATTGCATTTTTTGTTGTATGATTAAATTAGCTTCTAATATAGATGAAAATATAATATAAATATATAGTATAAACATTATTTTAACAAAATTTTTTTAAATAATTGAAATAATTAGGATCAAATATTCACTTATGGCTATAAGATAATTTATAGCTATATAAGCTAATTTAATCGTGTGTAACAAAAATGCCATCACTTTATTTTTTGACTTTTGGCAGACTAGAATCGATTCTGGGCCACTGTGCGACGCAGATTAGATAGAGCGCGCGACAAAGTCTCGACTAAGTTTAACAAATATATTATCATCGCATTCGGAGATTTCAGAAAAGAAGTCAGTTACTTTGTCTCCGTGGACAGACATTAAAATCCTTGGGATCTCAATCTATTACACTCCGCATTATTTTCTGTATTGCTCTATATATCTACTCTCTAAATCTAAATCAGCGTACAGTAACTATCCAGTATACTTAGCACTGATAATCAGTGAAGTTTAACTAAAAAAGAAAAAATGTTTGAGCATTATATAACTAAATACTGACATTTTCAAGTTAATTTCAATCTTCCAACCGTATTCATTGAATTTAAGCACTAAAACAAGATTAGTTAGATCACATAATAAAAATTAGCTAGGGATATTTAATTCATTGATTATCAGTGGCATATTTGGCATTGATATCAGTGATTATTCACTGATTCAGATTTAGAGAGGCTATGCGAAATTATTCGCACAACCAATCGCTATTACGTAATAACGAAGAGAAATGAGATTGTATTATTTCAAATAAATCCAATTTTACGCTAGAAACGAAGTGATATCAACAAGAGTGACGACGTAAAAGCTAAATCGACATTGAATTTGAATTTCATCGATCGCGAAGAAATCAGGATATCGCAATAATTTCATGAATTGCCTCACGACATTCCATACGACACGATCTTATATGACTGTTTGATAGTTGAATGCACGATCTTAGAATTTCGATCTAATTTGATTTTCATCCATTCGTACTTTAGAAGAAGGTTTAAGATAAACATATAGTGCAATAAAGAGATCAAGAACTTAAATGAACTTAATATTAGAGAAGACATTGGAAAGATGATGTAATGGAAAAGGTAAAAAAAATAGTAAGTATCACAATTGTATTTAGAGAAAAACTATAAAGATAACAACTATACAAGTTTTATGTGTACGTTAATTTATTCAATTATACTATGTAATTATTGCTGAAAGTTGCTGGATAAGAATTACATGTATTCATTTTTCAGATGTATTCATAAACGCGCACAATCATTTAATTTTAAATATAAAACTTATATAGTTGTCATCTTTATAACTATCATTACTATATAAAAAAGAGATTTTGCTCAAGTATAAAAAAGAAAATCTAGAAATTTAATTGATACAGATTTGAAAATAATTATGTTGAATTACCAAAATAATTATATATAGAACATTCAAGTATAGTGAGTAAGTGCTGCAAAAAGATTTGATATTTCAGGAACCAATGCATCCTATCCTATCGTGCATCCTATATACAATAATTACTCTGATAGTCCAACAAAATTATTTTCAGATCTATCTGAAAATATATATCCAAGTTTTTAGATACTTTAGTAAAATTATTCTCTCTGTGTACGTCTTTCTCCAAGTATGAAGTAAGATAAAATTGAAAAAAGACAAAAGGAAAAAAGGCAAAATGTTTAGGAAGGGCTGCTAAAAAAAAAAAGTACCTCAAAACCCACTGTGACGGCCTGGCGTGCGCCGTCTCCGACAGCAGAGTCACGAGCAGAACGCATACAATCGGCGTGCTGACTGATAGATTCATCTTCACGCGCACCACAATTAATTAATGTGAAACGAGTGAGAGCTAATTAAAGATAATTGCCTACGTTTATACCACGAGTAATTTAGTTCTGACACCGATTGTCACACACTTGTTGCCTCTTCCCTCTCTATATCTCGCACGTTTATCGAGAGGATTACTTCTTTCTGTCTTTTCTGTCACTGATAGAGACTTCCAACTGATACAATCGCGTGTCGCGTATATGCGCTCTTTCCTCTTGCGTCGATTTTGCCTCCTGATGAACTGTAGCTAGTCTCGACCGCATCGAGAATATATACCCGCGTTACCGCCCTCTCTATCCCCACGCTGTCGTCGTTAACGAGAAGATCGTCTCCCACCTTCACTTCGGATCGGTACGGATCCACCCTCGCTTTTTACGCAATATATCTACTCGCGGTCCCTTTTTCTAAATTCCGAATCCACTTTCTTTCCCTCCCTAACAAAAGCGTATAATTCTTTTTTCTTATTATTGCGACGTCATATTAAGCAAGGCAGTAGCGGTGATTTCAATATTGAAAATGACGTACTAAGGTATACAAGGTATGTGTACAATAGGTACTAATAAATTATTTCAATATGGAAAAATGCAAATGGCTTCAAACATTCGTATTTCTTGCAGAGCAAACAAAATAAAATATGTTTGTGAAAATGATTCAAAAGTATGTATTGTATAATAAAATTTTACTCACCAATAAACTATTCTTCTCTACTTTTTATCTCTCTCCTTTCCTTACATAACGTATAAAGACTGTCGCAAAGTACTGCCATCACATTTTGTCAAGAATAGTTCTCACACAAAAAAGACATGTTTAATTTACATTAAAAACTCCGAATTGTATTTACGAGGACTTGTATCACACAATACATGGTAAACTAATTTGACTATAAATTCAAACCGATTTTTATTGTCAATACATCAAAAAGTAGTATATAAAAAAATTTGTTCTTTTTTTTTTTTAAATCTAACTAGAATCTGGAAATTCCATATTTTTCACACGAAGTCTCAAGTAATAAGCAATCTAATTTCGTTTCATAAAAGAATGTAATTTGTCATCGTCAATTCTGGACTTGCGATTAATTATTGTTATTATAATATTTTTTAAAATGTTTTTAACATTATATCTTATTGTACTGATGGTCAAGACTTAATCGAAACGTCTACTTATTATTGAAATAATTTTGTAAAATATTCCACTTTCGCTAAATACATCTTGTGTTGTGGCTATATGCTTCTTATTATTTATATTTTGTGTAATAAAAGTTTCACGTAACCAAAATAGGAAGCAATATTCTCTAAATTCTGCAAAAAAAATAAAATCCTAAAAAAAGCTGTTAAAAAGATAAAAAAGATACTCCAAGTATATAAATTCATTCAAAAATATGTAATGAAAATTAAAAAAAGAACTTATATTTATTGAAATATTAACTGTTCAAAAATAAGTATAAAATCAATACAATTGATAACCAAGTATATCACTACAAAAAAAGATCTTAAAAAGTCTATAAAAATCTTATTCAAAAATTATCTGTGAAAAATATATATATTTATCAATGTGTGCAATTACTCAACAATCACATGCAATAAACGTTTAATGCATCCAAAAGTATATGCAGTAACGATTTAATGTATTTAAAAGTACACAGGACTGTTTAGATTCCCACCCGAGTGCCACCTAAGTGTCATATTATCCTTGTCACTGAATGTTAAAGGAATAATATGATATCCTTGGATGATATCTAAAGAGAAGTATTTGGGTGGGAATCTGAACACGCTCCTAAAGTTTAACGCATTTACTCTCTCTTCATACAAATTTTAAGTCGCATGAAACGAATTTAAAATGATTAAAACGATCAATGGAATCATAGTAAAGCAGAAACTTGCGTGCTCATTTAGGATTTTAATATATCGCGCAACATATGTCACAAAGTTGCATCTTATCGGACAATAAGTGACTCGCGTTTTTTTAATATCGAAAAATTAGTAATTAAAATTAAAATAATGAATGGCCACGTTAGATATTAAAGGATCAAATTAAATCAATATCAAATTAAATCCGTAACATAAATAACATTTTGTTATTTTTACTCCCAAGTATGTCAAAGTGTATTATTTTGCACAACACGTGGTTAAAAAAACTAAATCAATTCATTTCTGTGGTCGTGAATTGTTTCAAATCCTTTCAAAATAAATAATTCATATTAATAAAGTCAGTTTAATAAATGATAAACTAAATTTGAGTCAAATTAATACGTTTCTTCAGTTAAATAATTTAACTCCATTGTTTTAATTAACTTAACAACATATTGAATATAAAAACAATAACAATCTATACGAATGATTAAAAATAACTAGAAATTGAGTATAATTTTTGATATTAAATTTGAATTTAACAGTGCAATCACTGGAACGTTACGCTTGCAATCTAAGCTGTCTCGTTCTAGAATAACTTTTTTCTAGTTTGCGTGGTTTGTATTAATCTTCGTGTCTCTTTGCGTTTGTAAAAATTGCCAGACTCGTAATTACCTAACTCGTAGCAATACCTCGATTACTTTGAAACTAATTATGATGGTGCGTACTTAAAAACTTTAATTACTTTCTTTGTGTAATATACAAATTACACAATTCTGAATAATGTCGTCCCGTGCACCCACGTCGCTGAACAGAGGAGAACAAAGGTTCTTACTTTCAAGATCCGTTCTAACTTCATATGAGAGGCAAAACGATCATCTTTCTATAGTCTCTCTATTCGTCTCAATAATGCAATATTTTCTTCACGACGCACAAAAGGATGAATAATGGAAAATTAATAAAAGCGATGCTATCGGACAAAATAGAAGCAATCGTGCGCGAAATTGACAATGTTTTCAATGACAAGAAAAAAAAAAGACAAATATACGATTAAAAAATCGATATTAGTTCTTTTATTCAACTTTCACGTTATTATCATTTATTACGCTTTTTCTCTTCGGTGTTCGAGTTAGAATTTTAATTAAAATATAACGGATGACAAATGATTTAACGCGAATGTATTATTGAATGTATGTGTATACCATTGTCCCCAGCACATTGTTTTCGAAATTGTCCACGTTTTGTCTTCCACTTTATCTCCCTCGAATTGTTGTTAATTTTCCTTATGCGATGTATAATGCCTTCGCTTGGTAAGATTATATGAAGAAATGTAGAATTAATATAGGAATGCTTTTTTGTTGAATTTTTGATTAATTCATTTTAACATGTTACTTGTATACTCAATTTATTTAATCTAAAAAAATACACGAGTATCGCACAATGCAATAAATTTGTAAAAATAATATTTAACGATAAGGAATATTGATAAAGAATCGTTTTTTTAAATGTAGATATTTATTTAAATTTATTGCAATTTTGCTGCCACTAAAAATATTGAACAAAATGTCACGAAACGAAATATGATGTTCAAAAATTTGTGTTTTCAAATATCAAATATATTATAAATAATATAATATATAATAATTTAAACGTTTAATAATAAAAACGTTTGTAATAACTAGATTTTCCAACTATGTAAAAGCCTGTTTGTCTTAACAATACATAAAGTAGAAAATGAAATTCATGAGAAGGGGGGGAGGGAGGTAATTTCATAAATAAAAATATTAATAATTCGTAAATTATTTAATCATCAATAAAGAATTTTATGATTTATGATTCTAATCAAATTAATTATTTATATATAAATTCACGAAACAGTGAATTTGTAATCCATTATGAATATGATGAATACTGATTCAAATGTTCAAAGCTGTTACCTGATAAATTTCGTAATACTCTTTACGTTAAAAGTCCAGTTGACAGAACGCATAATTTACTTTTCTGAGGAAATTCTACGTTCATAACTTCGAGGATACTGTTAGATAGAAATCAAACGGTTTCTTACACTAACTTGCTTCAAACATTTCGATGACGTAAAGATAAACTACATTCGGGGGAAAATACCTCTTCAATACTAGGAAATATGACGACAAGTTTATGACAGGCTCATTCGTAATCTCTTGGAATCTATTTGCAGACGCGCGTTTATCGACTTTGGATATTCTCGATGACTGTCAATCTATTTTCAACCTACTAAAATGTAGCGCTAAAATGTATTGCCTATACATTTTCATATCGTTTGAGTTCTGTCTACTTAAATAATATGATTGTGAATTATGCAAGATATGCACAAAAGTAATTCAACAAACAATTCAAAAATAAATTGCGCAATGTTGTAATTCAAAGGATCGTGGAGAAAAAGAAGCAATTTTAATTTAGCTTAAAGAAAAATAATGTAAGTATTATTTTTCTAATGATTTTTGTATTGCTTATGTATATAGACTTTTTTTAGAGTTACATACATCCTACAGTTTCTATTCTCTCCATTTAAAATTATATAGTTACACATTATTTATATTTCCACATTTCTTTTTCTTTCAATTAACTCTTGTAAAGATATTAATACTATTAAAAATGTAATTATAATAAATTTGGCTATTGGGAATTAACGCTGTACTATATAGATGCGCGATAAATTTCAATATTATTAAGTTATATGTTTCATATTTAAATTCCCAATAGCCAAATTTATTATAATTACATTTTTTATATCAGGGAATTAAGATTATCATTCATTTGATACTATTAATATCTTTATTCTCGTAAAAATATCAAAACAGTATACAGAATGTTTTTTATCAAGAATTACTTGAAGCAAAGTGCGTAATTTGTGTTTAATTTCTACTACCGATTGGATTGTAAATACATCATTAAGTTATCTCGCACGGAAAGTCGTACATTTTGTACAAATACTATAAATATATTTAGAATTCCGTACTGTTTTTGCGATGAGACAGATATACCCAGAGATTGCTAACCCGCTGTTTTGACAATTATAGAACGCCCAATTAGTTTTGGTTTCCGAATTTCTCAGTCGGTCGATTGGTAAGTCGATCGTCAAGCCTTAATACGCTTGTACTTATCTATCGCGTTTAAATCGCATATATCAGCAGCGCCATACAAATTAATATTCATTAAACGCACTGCAGTGGTTTATCTCATACCGCGATATGTATTTCACGTTAAAAATAAGAATCGCCAAATATTTCACGCTAAATTGGTAATTGCCAGAAATTGCCCACGTCATTGATTTTGTCGGTTACGATATGCTATACTTAAAAATCGCAATGCTTGTGCTGCTTCGTAAGAATCGAAATTTCCTA